TTTAAACAAGAGAATAATCAAATGTATTCAATACACAGATATCAGGGTAATGGCAGAAATAAAAATGCTGACTACCAAGCTTACTTTTTATAATCTCAAGGATTAGAACAACTAATTCTTTCTGGTACTTACAGATTATAGCACAAAAAGTCCAGACAGCACACCTAAAACTACTCATTAAATGAATGAATGAATGAAAGGTTCAAAGCTAACAAAGTGAAATGTATCAAATATTGATTTGCTCAGGTACAGATACACTCACACTTGTTTGATGACAATTTAGATAAACACAAGCCAGATATAGTTTGTAACAGACTCAATTTAAACCAAATCTAATTAACTGAGGTAAAATATAGAGCAAAATTAATCTGCTTTAGTTAGACAATGTGTAAAATACTTCAGGACATTATTTTCTAAAAGTGACATTAGCAAATTAAACTTCAACAACTCTGTCCTCATTAGATAGTCAGGAATTAAGAGACCTGGCAATCTAGTCAGGAAATAATTTAGAGAAGGTTTAATCCAGAAAATGAAACAATTAGGGATGGGAATAATTGAAATATTTGGAGAGTTGTCATTAAAAAAATAAAAGATGTATTATAGTCATTCTTTGTATCACCTAAGGAAAGTCTATACAAGCTACAGGTTATTAGATCTTCCTTCAGTGCAAAGCCAAGATTTCTGTTAGATCTCTCAAAATTCAGACATGTCTACCACGCAAAGAAAGGAACACTTTATCACTTTAAGGGTGCAAGCAAAACCTAAACTATCTCCCAGAGACTTAGCAGAAAAAAAAATTCCTGTATCAGGGAGTGTGAGTGATTTGAAGAGCCTTTTCTGGCCTATGCTTCTACAATTCTATGATCTCTGAAGTCTTGTCTTACTCTTCCATACTACCATAATTTATTTTTTCATCGATTTACCTTCTCCCAACTTAACGTCTATCTTTGTTAAGCGCCCATTATTGGTTAATTGCAAGGTACTCCTTTAGCAATGGTCAATTTTATGTGTCAGTATGATCTAATGGATGACAAAACAGCAGGTAAAACATAATTTCTGAGTACATCTGAAGGAGTTCCCAACAGCATTTGAACCTACAGACTTTGTAAACATGCCCAAACTATTCATGGTGGGGTATCAGTCAATCCCTCAAGCATTGCTTGTGAAGACAATGTGGAAACATCCAACTCCTCCTGTCTTCAATTACCAGCACTCTTAGGTCTTTAAACTTGGACTGAATGATATATAAGTTCTCCCAACTTACAGATGACTTGCTGAATGACTCTTCATTCTCCATAATCGCAAGAGAGGATCTCAATTTCCACCTGCTCTCCACTCCTTTTACCCAGGCTTGCTGCCTGTGCTTCCCTCTGGAGACCCTGATTCATACACCTTTGTATTCCTACAATCTGACTTCTATTACAATAATGGCAGGGTAAAAATGATGCTAAGTCATAAGCTCTTTTCTATCGTAGACAATGGTTCTGCATTTACTTTCACTGTCCTTGACTGCAGGGAGATATTGTTAACTATTCTCCCCTATACTTTCTTGCTTTTTCAATTACTTTAATCTTTTTCTATGGCCTCTCCCACCCTCCTACCCATGAATCAATAGATTCTGAAGATACATGTGCTATCTGTAAACTTCTCCCAGTAATATGAAAGTTGGAGTGAGATAAGGTAATGTTTAACTCCTTAGTTACAATTAGGATAATGTCAGTAACATAATTGATATTATATATACTTGCAATTGTTTAGCTTTGTGTTTTTTTGGTTTTTACTTAAGATGGGGAAAGTACTTCAAACATTATTGCTTAAAAAGTTTTAACTTGGAGGAACTTTACAAGATCACATTTGATAATATATTATTAATGAAATCATCAAACCACACTTTAAAAATTAGTCTTAGAGGGGCTGGTACAGTGGCATATCAGACTAATCCTCTGCCCTGTGGCACCAACATTCCACATGGGCACTAACCCCAGTTACTCCATTTCTGATCCAGTTCTAAGTGTACGCCTTGAGAAGGCATCGTTAAGATGGCCCAAGTGCTTGGGGTCCTGCTCTCAGGTGGGAAGACTGGAAGAAGCCTCTGGTTCCCAGCTTTAGATCAGCTCAGCTCTGGCTGTAAGGGCCATTTGAGGAGTAAACCTGTGGCTGGAAGACCTCATTCATCTCTCCTTTTTCTGTAAAATCTACCTTTCAAATAAATCTTTCAAAAAATTAGTTTGATGATGGACTCCTATACCATCATTCTTTCCTACATCACCTTTATATAAAAGTTCAAGTTAAATTTCTAAATAAAATGATAGCTACTAGAAATGGAAGCTTCATTTCCCAAGTCTACACAAAGATCACTCCTTATCATGACCCTAGCTATAAAGTGTTTTGTTTAAAGTCCTCCTTTTTTGTATCAGATCTGGTTAAATGAAATAGCAATATTCAAATGTTTATTCCTTGCTGACAATTAGTAAATGTGAAGTTCTATTATGCAACTTTCAAAATTAGCTGATTTAAAATACATAATCTCAGTATATGAACAAATGTTCATCCTTATCAAAAGTATAGACCACAGCTGTACAATAAAACTTTCTATGAAGATGGAAATGTCCATCTGTGCAACACCCACAAGCCACATAGGACTACACAGCATTTGAAACTCTACTTGTGGGACCTGACATTGTGGCAGAGCACATTAAACTGCTACCTACAGAGCTGGCATCCAAGATCTGCACTAATTAAAGTTGGCTACCTCATTTCCAATCCTGCTCCCTGTTAATTCTCCTGGGAAAGCAAGAAGCACATCTATACCCACAAGGAAGAGCCAGAAGAAACTGCCAGATCCTGCTTTGGGCCTATCTTGTCTCTGATTACTGTAGCCAATTTGGGAGTGAAAAATGAATGAAAGACCTCTATGTTTCTCCTTTTCTTTCTCTCTGTATCTGTATCATTCACAAACACAAATCTTTTCCCAAAAAATACATATTGTCCAAATGATTAAGCTTCCTATTTTATTTTAATTAGCTTAGATATCTTGGGAAAATCCTAGTAACTACTATATTAGAACAAGCTAGCCCCTAGAAAACCATAACTATGAATTGTTCCTATAATATTTTTCTAGGGATAAATCCACATGCTAATAACATCAGCATGGTGTTGTTACACCAAAGCATAATGCTGCACCAATGCATTTGATGACATTTTCACATAACAAACACTTGTGGACTATACAAGGTACTACGTGGCAGGTGTCATGCTAACAGTACTGTGTACTTTTATTTATGCTGACCATTGAAGACCTCTCAGGAACACATCTTAGGAATTCAGAGACTATTCATGACATGCATTCCAGAAAAGACAAGACTTTCTGAGAGGGGTTAGTATGTCTAGGACATGGCAAACCATTTCATCCATGGGTGAGGATACCACTGAAAATCAGGCTGTGGGGTGATGGTGAGTTTTACATGGTAAGCAACAAGTTTGGATTCCAAGTGGCCACATAGTACCTTTTACTCCCCCTAGAGGCTGCAATGCTTGCTTGCTTTACTGTATTTTTAGTCTACTTCATTACATTTATTGTTTACTAAGGTGAGGATATGAATGCTTAATCCCATACTGCACTCTATGACATCTTCATAGAGAACACTGTGATGCTCTTGGAGTCTCAGTACCTACTGTTGATGTGTAGTGTTCCACCTCTTGGTTCACCATCAGACATTGTTCTGCTGCACTATTTATTTATCTAAGCCCTACTCATTTTTCATCTGAAAGGTAGACAGCGATCTTCCAAATGCTGGTTCACTCCCCAAAGAGTTGCAATAGACACAACTGGGCCAGACTGAATCTATGATTCAGGAACCCCATACTGGTCTCCCACAAGGGTGGCAGGTGCCTGAATACACGGGCCATTTCTGCTACCTTCCCAGGTGCACTAACAGGAAGCTGGATGGGAAATCAAACTGGACACTAACACTGGTATGCAATAGATGCCCACATGGCAGGAAGCAATGACTTAATCCGCTGCACCCTAATGTGGTCCCTTGGTGGCTGTATTTGCTGACAATCTGCAATGACTGGGTCCTCTGTATTATAAGTAAAGCTGGGAAATTTAAAAATAAAAATAAGTTTATTCATGGCACTAGCTTTCGTCCCCGAGAATCACTTACTTACGTAGGAAAGGACTGGAAATAATTTCCCTTTTCCAACTCTATAATAAGGATTTATAATTTAAAAGTGATTAAAAAAACTTAGCACAATCCCTGTCGCTCCCCCTGTTTTGTTGGTGGCCATGCTCCTTTCTTAAAGTTATATTACTTCACTATTGGATAGAGCAAATCTTTCCTGAAAGAGAAAAGTGACAGGGCTTCAGAACAGATAGGAAACAACTCCACAGGTCTGTGTAATGCACGTCTACTCCGGCGCAAAAGCGCCCAGTTTACCTTCAGCAGCGTACCTGAGGCAATGGGGCAGTGTTCCCTCCGCCAGAGGACATGCTCACCACGGACGTGGGCACAGCTTCTTCCTGTCCCATCCCCACTAAGCATGTGGCGGACGGAAGACGAGGAAAAGTAGCTAATTCATCAATTCGCTGAAAACACCAGAAATCACCCCAACACGGGAGAGGTGAAAAACAATTGGGCAACTTAGAGCCCCGGGGCCCGCTGCCTGCCGCGAGGTGTCTGCCTCCCCTGAGCGAACCGGCGCTCGCCCTCGGCCCGGCCGCCTCAGGCCGCCCCTGACCCCCTCACGCCGCCTCTGGCCGCCCCTGACCCCCTCACGCCGCCTCTGGCCGCCTCCGACACCCCCACACCCCTCACGCCGCCCCGCCGCCTCAGGCTGCCGCATTCGCCGGACGCGCGCCTGAGGTGCGGTGGGCGGGACCGCCGCTCGCCCTCCCGCGCAGCGCGCACGCGTTTCGTTTGTGGCCTCGGGGGCGGAGTCTCTTGTCCCTCTGCGCGGCCCGTCCCGTCTCGCCGCCTCGCCCGCCGCCGCCGCCGCTGGGCTGACGTGTCCGCTCCCGGTCTGCGTCTGGACGAGTCCGGCTGTGATGGCGGACGCCTGGGAGGAGATCCGGCGCTTGGCGGCTGACTTCCAGCGCGCGCAGTTCGCCGAGGCCACACAGAGGTGCCCGACCCTTTCTCGTACTAGGCAGCTGACGGACACGCGTGGGTCGGGGACCTCGGATCTTGGCCCGGGCCGCGGTCTCTGCTGCCGTCTCGGTCCTTCGCCCACCAGCCTGGACCGCAGTTCCGCGTCCGGGTCTCGGCGGGAAGCCTCGGTTCGCGAAGGCGCCTGCCGGGGACCGCGCCGTGTCCAAGGCCCGGCAGTCCGCGGGGTCCCCCGCGTCACCCTGGCACCCGTGACACCCTTAACCCAGAATGAGCTTTACACACACGAACCCCCGAATACACTACTTCGCAAATAGTGTGTTGACCCTTTCACGTTGGGGCTGGGGTAGGTTGAGAAGGGGTTCGGGCAGCAGATAAACAGGACAGACTCCTGGCACCATCTGTCACTTTACAGGTTTCTGAGGCTGACATTCCTGACAAGCCCATTGCTGTGGGATGTGCCCTGAGGACCAGGCCTCTGCTGCTTGAGATTACAGAACCTAGAGGTTCTTATTATTTGTTGGTTGTTTGTTTTTTACCTGTGGTGTTTGTTGCTTCTGGACCTGAATCCTGTATTACTGAAATCCATCTAAAAGTTAAAAAACTAGGTCACAGTAAATGCGTGAATAAAAGTGGCACTTAGAACTTACTGAGCCAGATCGCCATTCTACCTGTAGACCATGTGAGGCCATTACATGCTTGAAGAAAATGCTGGTTAAGTTGAAAATTAAATTAGGGCAGAATTGGTTTTTTTTCTACCTAAATTATAGTTTCTGAATTTTTTATTCAGATTTGAAGATAGGAAGCAGGTCTAGAAGAGCGCAGACTTGAACTCTTGTAAAATGATAAATACTACTCAAGTAAATGCTTTACGTGTATGTCATCCTGCTTATTGGAGAAATTTCATATTATGAAGTCAGAATCACTATGCTAATGAAGGCACAGATCTTAAAATTCACAAGACAGAGCCTCTTTTCCCAGATTTTTTTGTAAAACCAGTTATTATACATTGTGCTAATTTTAATAGGCACCAGTGTATTAAAGGCGATGCTAAAGTGTAACTTTTCTTTCCCTCAGGTTGTCAGAGCGGAACTGCATTGAGATTGTGAATAAATTGATTGCTCAGAAACAGTTAGAAGTAGTTCACACACTTGATGGAAAGGAATATATTACTCCAGCCCAAATTAGCAAGGAAATGAAAGATGAGCTCCATGTTCGGGGTGGTAAGTATTCCGTAGTGTTTTCTTCTAGATGTTAGGAAGGGAAAGATACATTGAAAGCATGATTAAATAATAAGTTATTTCTAAAACTCCTTTCTCAGTTATTAACATTTTTCTAGATTCATGCAAGTATGCTCATATAATTAAAATTAATTCATATGTTACCACTTTACAAAATAGTACCTTTCTATGATTTTGCGTTATTTGCACTGTATGTAAATTAAATGACCATTTTTTTCAACAACTTCTGTTTCATAACTCAGTGGGTACAAATTGCCTGTTATCAAGCGATAATTGCAAGAATGATAGAGACTTGTAAAGCTGATATAGTCACTAAAAATCAAGACTATCATGCTTTCTTTAAAAAGACATTTTCTGTATTTATAAGCTAAGCAACTCAGTGTAACATGGTTTAGTATCTGTCATACAAAATGCTATTTTGAGCACACAAAAATTGTCTTTAAAAGATTTGAACAAGCTTTGGACACAGATTTTTAATTAGATATCATGTGAATATAGTTTTGGTGGGTCTTAATCTTTCTGCATAGTGCTAATAAAATATGAGCTTTGATTTGGAAAACTTAACAGATTGCTTCTTATTGGCAGGTAGAAACTTACCTCTCAATTTCAAATAAGTGAAAAAAGACTATCTTACTTTAGTTGAATCTCTGGTCATGGTCAGTACATTTGGAGTTATGAAAAGAATCAGATACCTTTTGTAGATCTAACTAGATTGTGCATCAGTTATACATAATTCGCCTGAGATGATAAAAATAGCTTTGAAAATAAATTATTGCAGCTGATTTAGTCATACAGACCTACTTATTTTTCATATGTGAACATGTTCATCCTTGAGACTCCCTGGCTATTGTAGATGGATTTCAGTTATCCATATCTGAATTTGTGGTTTTTGTTTGATGTATGGATACACATAATTAAAAACAAATCATTTTCATTTCTTTAAAGGCCGAGTAAACATTGTTGACCTACAACAGGTAAATATTAAATTTATAAAATTTTTGCTTTGTTTTCTCAATTTTTGATACTATGAATTTGATAGTTAAAAAGTATCCATTGATACCAGCAGCATATTTTGTATACTGTTAGTGAAGAAGTGATTATGTAACCCTTGCTGGTATATTGGATCAAGTAAATAAGCTCTAATGTATAGAACTGATTTAATACTTCTTTCTCAGATTACTTCCTTAATTATTTACCTTACCAAATAGAGTTATAGTTAGCATTTTATCTAACTTTTGAGAGAAAAATCATTAGTGTTTCATATTTACATGTATTTAATATGTAAAAGTAATAAAAAATAAAAAGAGGATGTGTAAAAATGCATAAGTGCACAACATATCATAACCAAAGAACACTAAAATATAAGAACCTGGCAAATCTTGTGTGAAATGATGTCTGTTAGATGAAAAAAATATTTCATGGCTTAATAAACATTTTCTTAAATGAAAATAATTTCTACAAAATTAAAACTAAGCCTTATTTGAGGCTTTGAGGCTTTTTGCATTATTTCAGGTCAATTGTTCATCTAAGAACAAATAATCTTTTACAAAACTATAGTTGTATATGTTTAATGTGGGATCTAAGAAAAATAAAACCCTACCACTAATGTAATTTGTGTCATTTTTCAGGTAATTAATGTGGACCTGACTCATATTGAAAATAGAATTGGCGATATTATTAAATCAGAAAAGCATGTTCAACTAGTACTGGGACAACTAATAGATGAGTAAGTAAAAAACAATAATAAGAGATCTTCCATCGTCTGGTTCAATCCCCAGATCTCTAACCACAGATTCTGGCCATAGCAGCTGTAACCAGGTCTCCCATGTGAATAGCAGGGGACTAACTACTTGGGCCATTCCCTACTGCTTTTCCCAGGCATATTAGCAGGAAACTGGATTGGAAGAGAAGCTGAACATGAACCATATCCCTATAGGATGCTGACCTGGCAAGCTGTGGTTTTAAAATATTTACAGCACCTCCTTGCTGCCTTTTTCCCCCTTCCGTAGTATTTAATAGGCCTTGTAGCTAGTTAGTCATTTCATTTCCTGTAGAATTCTTGTAATGCTGGCATTTATAAGGGTCATTTTAGGTAATTTTCTGTTTTCTTAAGGCAGTACAAAACATAAACTTTTAAAAGATTTATTCGTTATTTGTTTGAAAGGCAGATTGACAGACTGGGTGGGGAGAGAGAGACAGGGACAAAGAGAGCAACACCAATTTGCCATCCTCTGGCTTACTCCTCAAAAGGTCCCAAACATCCAGAGTGGAAGCCAGAAGCAGGAAGTCTGGTGGTCAGTGAAAGTATCCAAGGTAGTGACGTAACCTGCTATACCACACATCTGTCCCAACTTTTATAGTCTTTCTTATGTGATCTTAACTCTGAAAGCAAGCTTATTGGGGAAAATATTAATAAAAATGACTACAAAATTTCTACTCATTAAAAAATTATAATGTGACTAACTTTTCATTCAGTTATTTCAACCAAAAAGTTTATAGAATATTGGTGTTTGCATGCATGTTTTACATTTGCTACTTTTGGGGCATATTTTCTTAAGAAATTAAATATAAAAAATAGAGGGATAGAGGAAAAAATCATTATTCCTAATTGGATTTTTCTATCTTTTTTTTTCCCCACTGTTAGGAACTATTTGGATCATTTAGCAGAGGAGGTAAATGATAAGTTGCAAGAAAGCGGTCAGGTAACGATATCAGAATTGTGTAAGACTTATGATCTTCCTGGAAATTTTCTAACACAGGTAATTTTGAAAATACTGTGACATGTCTTTTTAAAAAAGGAATGTCAAAAAAAATTAGGGGGGACTGGGAACAGATGTTCTAACTCATCAGTGAATTTCCTACTGCAGAGATTTGACTTAATATAAATTGTAACACTACATTTTGGGGGCTTTCTATGTTTATGACTCTGGGGAGTTTATTTAAAAACGATCATAATACAATGATCCCAAACTAAGGAATACTCTGAAAATAGTAAATAGATTAAAGCCATAAATGCATGGGGCATTTAATGCTTCTGATATTAACTGTACAGAAATTTTAAAGGGGAATGCTAGATTCTAGTTACAGTTTCAGAAATAAATAATGAAGATTATAATCTAGAAAGGGGTACGAATTTCTAGTAAAAGTCAAGGATGCTGTTAACCATCTTTAATAAGATCTGTTTCTCAAAAGGATTTTCTTCTCAAAATATCAACACCACCATCTTTTGTTCCTCTGAACTGTCAGTATTACAGAAATCTCACATACTCTTTACATATTTGTGTTAATACTCAAATACTTTAATTTGAAATAACCGTGTCACATGAAAATAAGAAGCTTTTCCTTTTAAGGATTTTGACATTTTAGAATCATAGAAGTGCTCTTGGAACAGTGGAAAGTATTCAGGCTTTGATATAAATGTGTGAATCTTATCTTTGGCCATTCTTATTTGATATTAGGAAAATTATCTCATCTTTCTGTGGTTTAACTTATATATCTATAAAATAATAATGTTTGCAATAGCCCTCCTCTTATCTGTGATTTCACTTTTTAATGGTTTCAATTATTCTGGTCAATGATAGCCTGTGCATATGGTAAGATATTTTGAAGAAGAAAGAGGAGCCCACATTCACACAACTTATTGCACTGTATTATAGTTTATTTTGTTATTGATAATCTGAGATTTATAAATTGAATTTCTTTATAGGTATAAGTTTTTCACAATAATTTATATTAGCTTTAGCTCTAATTTTTGTAAATATCTTATGCATTCTTCTAAAGTTCAAGTTGTTTGAAAACCATTTTTTAAATATATATATATATATATATCATGAAAGTGTTGGTCAAGCTGTGCTGAGCAAATTTAATTTAGCTTGAGATGTGAAACTTCCACCCCTGATTTCTCATTGACCAGTCCTGGTATACACATACAGAAAGAGTGTTGACTTTGAAAGCAGATTGTCATAAAAACAGATCATCTGTGATTTTAGATCATCTGTTAACATTTGCATCAAAGAGGAGAGATTTCAGGCCTTCTAGTTTAATAGATTTCAAAATCTTGGAATAACATTTCTCTGTGTCAATACTAGAAGCTCCTGGTGGAGTGTTCTCTAAAGCTCGCGTGTATTTCTTAGCTGTCTATAACATGGAAGATATATCTAGGAAAATAGTTAATTTATTTACATTAGCTATGGACTTAATTAACAATGGCTAATATAATGATTGGTCATTGGCTTTGCCATGAGATATTGAAGTGTCCTGAATTGTCCATTTTCATTTAGATTTTATAATTTGGGCTTGTTGAAATTTCCCAGTCACATAATCGATACATCAGCATAGGACATGAATTGAAAATGAGTATAAAAAGGCATGTAGGTCATTTTATTCTTTCAGACTAATAGATATTTATATTTTTATTCTAAGGCACTCACTCAGAGAATTGGTAGAATTATCAATGGACATATTGATCTTGACAACAGAGGAGTAATTTTTACAGAAGCTTTTGTAGCTCGACATAAAGCTCGCATCCGTGGACTTTTCAGTGCTGTTACCCGGTAAACACATTTTAAAGTATACATCTTTGTACATGTCTTTTTTCTTTTTGAAAGATTTATTTATTTGAGAGGGCATCGAGAGAGAGAGATAGATGAAGAAAGGTACACAAAGAGCTATCTTCCATCTCTTGGTTCACTCCCAAAGTGGCTGCCAACAGCCAGATCTGGACCCAACTAAAGTCAGGATCCAGAAACTCCATCCTGTTCTCCACTTGGGTGGCAGGTGCCCAAGTGCATGGGTTCATCTTCTGTTGCCTTCCCAAATACATTAAGAAGCTAAAGTAAAAAAAAAAATGATTGGAAAAAAAAAAGAAGCTAAAGTAAAAACAAAGCAGCTGAGACTCATCAAACTGGCAGTTTGATATGGGATATAAGCATCAGAAAATGCTGGCCCTTTGTGTGTGTGTGTGTGTGTGTGTGTGTGTGTGTTTATTATGATTGGCTTTTTTCCCCTTCAGCAGATAAATCTTTTAACAAAAACTGATTCAGGGCTATGGTTTGTTAAATGGAAGTGGAGTTTCTGTGAAATTGAAGTGGAATTATGAAGTCCTACAGAGTGACCAGTGCTCTGGCAACCTGTCTGCTCTTACCCTCACTGTACTTACCACCATCATATTACAGATGTACTTCTGCAATTCACAGTTACTTCTGCTGCATTAGTGTATTGAACTCACCCAGGAATCATGAGGAAAAAAATCTAATTGAAAGTCCGAAGAGTTGAATTGTAGTTCTGTTACATATTTTACTATATACTACAGAAGTGTGTGTGTGTGTGTGTGTGTATACATATGTATATATTTTTAAGAATTATTTATTTATGTTATTGTAAAGGCATATTTACAGAGAAGGAAATGCAGAGAGAGATCTGGCATCTGCTGGTTCATACACCAAGCAGCCGCATTGGCCAGAGCTGAGCTGATCCAAAGCCAGGAGCTTCTTCATGGTCTCCCATATAGTTGCAGGGTCCCAAAGAATTGAGCCAACCTCTACTGTATTCCCAGGCCACAAGCAGGGAGCTGGATGAGAAGTGGAGCAGCTGGGACACAAACAGTTGCATTATGGGATCCTAGGTACATGCAAGACAAGGATTTTAGCCACTAGGCTACTATGCTGGGCGCAGAAGTATATATTTTATGGTACACAAATTATACCATATCATAGCATATTAAAAAATGTACAGGGTCCAGCACAATAACCTAGTAGCTAAAATCTTTGCTTTACATGCACCAGGATTCCATATGGGCACCAGTTCTAACCCCAGGAGCCCCGCTTCCCATCAAGCTCTCTGGCCTAGAAAGCAGTTGAGAATGGCCCAAAGCCATAGGACCCTCCACCCGCATGGGAGACCCAGAGGAAGCTCCTTGATTCTGGCTTTGGATCGGCTCAGCTCTGTCCATTGCAGCCATTTAGGGAGTCATTCATTGGACAGAAGATATTCCTCTCTGTATATCTGACTTTCTAATAAAAATAAAGATTTTTAAAATGTACAGTTATAACTAAAAATTTTTGATAAACAATAAAGAGCGTTTTAAATTGATCTCTCCCGTTCACCCTAGTCTAAAAGTATATTCTGAGCTCTTTTCAGTACACTTATGAGCTGATTTTTCTTTAAAAATGAAATCATAAATAACATTCACTTGAATATCCCAGTGAGAAGAGCTCAGAGTGAAGAAAGATGTACACTGAAAGCCAAAGCTGGTAGCCAAGCACCAGAGAAACCGGAAATGAAAATTTAATGGAGTAGGGATGTAATTAATTATGGATTGGAAGGCTATTTCTTTGATCTTTCAATAGGATAATTCTGATAAGGATTTAAAAGTTGGTGTATGTTTTGACTCCAATTTTAAAAAATAATTGTCTTTTTTATAAATTCTTATCCCAATTATTGTGTAATTAATACAACTGCCTTGAATTAATTAAAGTATTTTTTTCTTCTTCCAATGAAGACCTACAGCAGTGAATTCTTTAATTTCAAAATATGGATTTCAAGAGCAACTTCTTTACTGTGAGTTTAGCTCAGATATATATATATATATATATACTTCAATTACTTTCGAAATAGTGTGATTATAAAACTCATTTATTTTAATGTGGTTTCCTCCTAATTTTAAAATTTATTCTGACACATTTATAGTTTTCATATGTGCACCATTATACCTGTTTTATTATTATTTACTTTCAGAAATGAACATGTGCTTAAATATGTGTAAATTAAAATGTATAGTTATTGATATATAGAGAGAAATTATATATATATTAATATAGATAGGGATTTTAAATTGTTGGAGCAATTTTTATTTATAATTTGTTTCTTATACTTTTATATTACATTTTCTAAAATGAAACTAGTCTAACAAAGTTGTTATAGTTTATAGCAATATAAATTTATTGTTAATATTAAAATAATGAAATATCATATCTATTAAAGAACTGTGTCCTTTGTGTCTGTGTATGTTTGGGATTTTGCAACTTTGATTTAATGCTTTACTAAAATAATTTTTTAAAGCAGTAATTTAATATTTTGATTGACATTAGTGCAAAAATAGATCTAAAATGAATGGGAAATAAATTTAAATGTGGAAAGAAAAATTAACTGTTACTACCTTTCCAAATATGAACTTTAAATTTTAAGACATTTAAAATTAAACTTATTGCAATCTATATTAAAATTATGTATAATCCACCTTTCCAATAAAAATAATAAATCTTCAACAGATTCAACACTTTTGGTTTCTCTGAATTTGTAACCTAAAAATTCTGATGAATGCCAGAGTTTTATATAAAACTAAAATCCCTTCAATTATACTTTTTAAAGATTACATTGGCTTTTAAGAGATTAGAAAGAAACAAACTGTTAAGTGATAAGGTACTATTTAAGGTTTCACCTACTGTGATTTACTCGCATTTGCCTGTTTTTGTTCTTTTTACAGCTGTGCTTGAGGAGCTTGTCAATAGTGGCCGCTTGCGAGGCACTGTGGTTGGTGGAAGGCAAGATAAAGCTGTGTTTGTCCCGGACATCTACTCCAAGACACAGAGTGCTTGGGTGGATTCCTTTTTCAGACAGAATGGCTATCTAGGTAACTACTTTTTTTTTTTTTTGCTAAAATATGTTTCTGGAACACGTTCTGAGAAAATGTTGTCTAACCTTGGAATCCATGTGTATTTCTCTGTTGTTGAACAGATGATTATTTTGATTTCCTTTTAGTATAAAAATAATCACGTTGGTTTCCATGGCTCATAGACCTGATTTTAATGCCATGGTTACTGAACAGCTGTAACATCAGAAAGCCAAAAACAAATGTTGATACCAACCATTAACTATATTGCAAATTAAGATGATGCTTTTAAAATCCAAATACTTTTAATTCAAAAAGGAAAGCATATTTTATAAAATTGCCAGATTTTCCAGACTTACAATCTTAGGAATATTTTACTGGCTGTTAGACATTACTGTGTTCATTTTTATTAGTTTCTTGTACTTCAACACCAAGTTATACTGTTTCTAAGGTTCTGTTATCTGGATAAAATGGTTGCTTGTTTAAGGAATTAAAACAATTCCTTCAGAAACTTTTTGGTAAATGCACATTATCTTCTTAAAAACAATATTTATTATTTATTCAAAGAATTAGAGAGACAGGGTTCACACCTTAGATGACTAACCGTAGTAACCAGAGTTCTGCTGGCCCAACCCAGGAGACAGGATCTTTTTTTTTTTTTTTTGCAATTCCTAAGAGGTGTGAATGGCTAGCAATTCTAATTCATCTGTGGTATATTTATAGAATTTGATGCCTTGTGCAGACTTGGAATCCCAGATGCTGTTAACTACATAAAGAAAAGATACAAGACTACACAGCTCTTGTTTTTGAAAGCGGCTTGTGTCGGCCAAGGACTTGTGGACCAGGTGGAAGCATCAGTGGAGGAAGCTATCAGCTCTGGAACATGGGTTGATATTGCAGTAAGTTTTTTTTTTTTCTTAAATTTTCTTTAAACCAGTGATAACTTATATTTTACTAGTGCTTTGCTGTTTAAGTAGTTAAGGTACACCGAGATCATCCTGATTTTAGGTAGACATTCTAGAAATAATTATTTCAATAAACAATTTATTTTATGTTTTATGTCATCACAGTTTCTCAAATAGAGAGTAACCTTCTACGTTTGGATTGTCAATATCTTTTGTTCTGTAAATCTCCAACAAATAAATAGAGCACTTTGTTAATCCTGATAGTGAAATTGATAAGGCTTCCCCCTATCTTACCCATACTGCTTCAGCTGCACTGGTATTAGGTATTGTGTGTCATTTCTTTATCCTTTATCTACTAATCTCTGCTAATGTATTTGACACTGATACTGTTTTACTGATCAGTGTTCATTGTTGATCTCTTTATTATACCACACAGGTAAGTGTAGTAAAGTAAAATCAACATCAATCCATTATTTCATAGTCATGATTCAGACCTGACTTTTTTTTTCTTTTGTTTTGTTGTGTTTGTTTTTTAGCAGAAAATGCTGTTCTGGGTATCCATGTTTCTAAAACTCCAGATTTAAGTTTTTTTTAGCTATTCAATAACTTTTATTAAGAGCATCCTATGAACCATTCTATTTTGTGGTGATTTGGTGGCCAGACTTTCTGCCCACAGGAGGAGCACTTTGGAAAGAGAACATTGATCAAAATGGTAATTTTGGTAGAAGAAGGAGTGAAGAAGAAATACATTTTGCAGATAAAGTTATTAGGACAATTCTTTTTTAATGCATTATTAGTAACTTTGTAAGTTGGAGAAATTGAATGACTTAAGGTTCTTTGACACTTGATGATGAATGGTAGGCAGCGGGATCTGTGATTCCAGAGTTCAGTATTGTTGATGAAATCGAAAAGGAAATTAGGAAATTTGGGGCATAGATGTGGATCCAAAGGCCGTTATACTGAAGAGATCCCCTAAGAGATCCTCTATATTTGTGTATAAAACAAATGATTTATGTTTTATTTAAAACTTGTATTGACTTTATTTTATTTGTTATTCTAGCCTCTGCTACCCAGTTCTTTATCAGTTGAAGATGCTGCCATGTTGCTTCAACAGGTGATGAGAGCATTCACCAAACAGGCATCAGCTGTTGTCTTTAATGACACTATTGTAGCTAGTGAAAAGTTTATAAATGACTGTGCAGAGCTGTTCAATGAACTGATGCACCAAAAAGCGGAAAAGGTATGCCAGATTTCCTTTCACCTGCTAATCTTCAGATTATTTTCATATTAGAATCTTCTGATGTTTTTTGAAATATGAAGTGAGCAGTTTGATCCAAAATGAACACCTTATGTCATACATGATTTTCTTTATCATTCCTTTTTTATTTCCTCTCCTGGAATTGTTTTTTCATTTCTTCATTTCTGTTAGAACATGGAAACTGATTTTATATATTAAAATCATAGTTACTAAGGGCATTGGTTCAATTTTAAAACACTAAGACAGGCAAACGTGTCATCTTGATGGGTATAAATATACAGTGTGTTTATGTGAATCAGTACACATTGTATTTACTAAAGGTTGAGTGTCGTTAAGTTCATCTATTTCAGGGACACAGAATAACTTACTGAGGAAATAAATTTTGTAGGTGTCAAAATTGTTTAGTTCCTAAGAGCAGCTGCTGTCAAAATATTCTGAAATAGAGGTCATTCTGGCTCTGCTTTAATAATCACCAATTATACAGCGCCATTTCCTTATAAAACCTGCTATCAAACGCATAAGACAAACCCATGTGTTTTATTAAACTGTTAATCTTTATAAGGGCTTATTAAAGATGTAAATAGCTTGTATTAACTATTCTGGTTTGAAGAATAAAAAGAATACATGTTTGATATCAGTAAATCCAAGATTTAGTATATTCACCTTCTGTATGATTTTGGATAAATAGACTTCCAGCTTTCTTCAAAAATAGACGATGCTATCTACTCTGGAAAGGACACATATAAGTAAATGAGGAATATAAAGCCTGATACATATCAGCAATAAGTTAGTAAATAAGTTGTTATTTTTATTTTTGATCTTTTGGTCTTAATATCAGCATCACTATCCTTCCATGGACTCTTCCTTCTAACCACAAAATAGTTCATGTGAGAGGGTTGTATCACCTTGAAATGGTAACATTCGAAGTATTTCTCTTTACAGAATGATAAAGGGAAATAATTGCATTTTTACCAGCAAATGCACTTTTGTCAATAAACAAAATGTAAAATTTGACAAATGTACTTTAGTCAAATAGAACCTTTCCATGAGATAAAGACTGTTTATGGCCTTGGAAATAATTCATTGTTATCAAAATGAACTTTCAAAAAACAAAGATTATTGAGAATGAATTCAGAGAAAATTTCATTTATTTGACTTAGGGTATAATTTCATATTTGTGTGTGGTGTAGGGGGTGAGGAAGTTTCGTTATCTTTCTGATGACCTCAGGTACCCAGATACTCTACTTGGTACTCCCTTTCGAAAGGTAGTGGAAGGGATGACGTTTTAAGACCAGCCAATAACAGCTAAGGAGAATTTCATCTGATGTTGAGCAATCAATTGCTTGGGTACCAGATAAGACTTTTTCATTAGCTATTAATAGATATTTTATTAACTAGGTTTTGAGTACTCCAAAGAAATGAAACAACTAACTTTATGAAGAGAAGTTATCACTGTTGGAGCGGATTAAGTTCAGGATCAGGTGGCCTCTTGGCTAGGTGGTAAATGACAGCAGTGTACTAAGGAAGGAAGCACATGGTGAGAAGAAAGACAGATTAAGAGGCTGTTCCCAACTCAGGTCTCTTCCAACAACTCTTTTGTGACAGTTATATTCACCACATATATCCCCAGTGACCTGAAGACCTCCCACCAGTCCACTTCTTAAACACCATTATTTGATCAAGTTTCCATTCCTTAAATAATATCAGTTTGGGATTTAAATACCTGCATCAGGGACTGATGTTTTGGTGTTACAAATATAGCTGCCATCTTTGGTGCCAACATCTCATCTAGGTGCTGATTTATGTCCCTGTTGCTCTATTTTCAATCCAGCTTCCTGCCTGTGTGCCTGGCAAAGCAGCAGAGGGTGGCCCAAATCTTTAGACCCTTGGAACCACATCTGTCTTGTCTCCTGGTTTAGGACTAGCCCAACTCCAGTGATAATATCCACTTGGGGATTGAAGCAGTGGATGGAAGATCTCTTTCTCTGTAACTCCACCTTTCTTTTTTTTTTTTTTTTAAGATTTATTTTTATTATTTTTTCATTGGAAAGGCGGATATACAGAGAGGAGAGACAGAGAGGAAGATCTTCCGTCCGATGATTCACTCCCCAAGTGAGCGCAACGGGCCGATACTATGCCGATCCGAAGCCAGGAGCCTCTTCCGGGTCTCCCACGCGGGTGCAGGTTCCCAAAGCTTTGGGCCGTCCTCGACTGCTTTCCCAGGCCACAGGCAGGGAGCTGGAAGGGAAGCGGGGCTGCCGGGATTAGAACCGGCGCCCATATGGGATCCCGGGCGTGCCAGGCGAGGACCTTTAACCACTTGCGCCACCGCACCGGGCCCAACTCCACCTTTCAAATATATAAACGTATACCTGCATGACTTTGAGAGTCATGACAGGTGTAAAAGACGAAGAATCACTGATTTTTTTTTCTTTTCTTTTTTTGATAATTTGTTGGAAAGGCAGATATGCAGAGAGGAGAAACAAAAAAGATGTTCCATCCAGTGGTTCATTTCCCAAGTGACCACAACAGCCAGAGATGAGCTGATCCAAAGCCAGAAGCCAGTAACCTCCTTTAAGTCTCCCATATGAGTGCAGGGTTCCAAGGCTGTGGGCCATCCTCTTACTGCTTTCCCAGGCCACAAGCAGGTTGCTGGAAGGGAAATAGAGAAACCAGGATATGAACTGGTGCCCATATGGGATCCTGCGTGTACAAGGTGAGGATTTAGCTGGGCTGTTGCATCGGGCCCATAATCACTAGTTCTTAGAAAAGAGAAATAGCCTTAAATAGTAATTATGGGACACAATGCCATAATTTGGTGACTAAAATCCTCACCTTGCATGCCAGGATCCTGTATGGACACCTGTTCATATGCATGCTGCTCCACTTCCTTCAAATCTCTGTTTTTGGCCTGGGAATCTAATAGAGAATGTCCCAAAACTTCGGGACCCTGGACCCACATGGGAGACCCAAAAGAAGCTCCAACCAGGCTCCTGGCTTCAGATTGTCTCAGCTCCAGCTGTTGCAGACACTTCGTGGGTGAATGTGAACCAGTGGATGGAAGAGCTTTATCTCTGCTTCTCTTTCTCTAATTCTCACTTTCCAGTAAAAATAAATCTTTTTAAAAAATAGTAACTATGACAATGCTTTATAGTTCCTATTAAAATTAAGCAGGAATATTTAAGATATGTTAGAATATGAGTATAAACAATGAAATGCAGTATGTATTTAACAACAGCAACAAAAAAGCATGTTTTATTTCAGGAAATGAAAAACAATCCTGTACATTTAATCACTGAAGAAGATCTGAAACAAGTCTCCGTGTTAGAAAGTGTTAATACAAATAAAAAAGATAAAAAAGACGAGAGGAGGAGGAAAGCAACAGGTAATAAATTATGAGTTAGATTAAAATATGAATTTGTTCCAGTAAAGTTAGCATTTATTAGTTTCTTTGAAAGACTGTTTTATTATCACCCTTTAATTTGACTGATAATACCAACCAAATCTGTTGCTAATGAGTTAAATTTTAATTACAAAATTGGAAATATTGGGGGATTATATATAGTTTGTGTTCTTTTGCAATAAATATTTGTAATATTTTTAGGATTATGGCCCATCTCCTGTTTCCCTGTCACCTTCAATGTTTTACCCCAACAGTTCTTTGATTCTTCAACTTGCCAAGTGTAGGTTCACATTAAACCTTTAATACTGCTTCCTGAACTTCGTATAATTGGTTCCTCCTTTTCATTCAGAGACAACTTTAAATGTCACTTCCTAATCCCTCATAATAGTTTCCACAGTCGTTCTGTCAAAGCATGACATCAGCTTTTTGTAATACTCTGTCACTGCAATGTGTTCTGTTGTTTAAGAGCCTTGTTAATCTTCTTGTTTTTGAATCTGTAGTACCCAGAGCACCCTTGGTATATTTTTAAATTTTTTTAAAAGGTGCATTTAAAGGTAGCATATTTTTCCATAATTTTTATAATAGGAACAAGTTTATTGTATAATATAAATATTTTAAAAATTTTCATGTCATCCTCTCCTAGGAACCGTGCTAATATTCTCTGTATTATTCCAATTTGAATATGTGTACTGCCAAAGAAAGCACTAAATACATATTAAAGAGATCTAGGGCCGGAGCAATTGTTCCATGGCTATAATTCTCACCTTGCAAGCACCTGGATCCCATATCATGCCGGTTCATGTCCTGGCTGCTCCACTTTCCATCCTGCTCCCTACTAATGGCCTGGGGAAGCAGTAGAATATGGCCCAAAGCCGCGAGACTTTGCACCCGAACGGGAGACCTGGAAGAATTTCCCAACTCAGGCTTTGGACTGGCTCAGCTCTGTCTTTTGCAACCACTTGGGAAGTGACCCAGTAAATGGAAAATCTCTGTGTGTCTACTCTGTAAAATCTGACTTGCCAATAAAAATGTATTTTTAAAAATCTGATATTCAACTTTTTAAATAACAGCACAGCTACCTTGAGCATATATTATGAAAACCACATTTATAATGAAAGCGTTCTTATCGTTACGAGAATTCACTCATTTATATGAGATTTTATTTCCTGTTTTAAAATTTATAAAATCATACAATGATATTCTGATGTTTTAATCTATTTTAACAGGACATTTATAGTAAATTAATAAATTTATAGTTGCACATATTTTGTCATTATTTGAAGTTATCAATTTGCTTATATCAAATGAGGATTTACATCAGTGTAACTAGTCATTTTATTTCTCACTAAAGCTTAGGGGCTGATGTTTTGCTTTTAATTCTAGTACTACTTTACTGTAGACATGTAGTTACATTACACTGAATTACATTACATTGAATCATCTCAAAAATGAATGTTCTCTTATAAACTTACTATGAAATGTTACAGGCATGTTCATTTCAATAAGTACTTTTGAAAATAGTGTTCTTATGGGAACTAATGGATATAAGTCAAGGATATGATAAAGTCTAAGTGAATTCAATTTAGAATCTAGAAAAACCTCTATGTAATATTTATGAAAAAAACAGTTTCAGTATTTTTAATATTTAAAACAAATTATAGGGACAGGCATTGTGATGCAGGGATTTTTAAGCTACTACTAGAGATGCCAGAATCCCATGCCAGAATACCAGTTCGCATCCTGACTACTCTATTCCCACTTCTGCCTTCCTAGTAATGTATCTGGGAAACAGCAGATAGTAGCTCAAGTATCTGAATCCTAACAAATACATGGAAGATTCAAGTGGAAAATCTGGCTTTCAGCTTCAGGCAGGTGTAGCCCTGATTGCTGTAGCTATTTTAGAAAATTCTCTATCTCTGTGTGTGAAGGTTATTCTTCATTGCAAATAAATATTTTTAAAACAATTATAACCATAAATATATATAAATCAGAAATATACATATAATTGCTATTAAATAATAAAAATATATAAATGCATAATAGTAGGGAAGTAGTTCAATGACATTGTTTCATTTTTATTTATAATATTCAAATTGCTTTCCTAATTTGTGCTTTTTTTAAGTGATAAGTTAGCCTGTATTAACTGATAATTTTTTCTAATTAAGCAACTTAATATTCATGGTAATTTATTGTACATGTTATATTTCAAGCATTGTTATGACCTCAAGAATGCAGAAGTTTATGAGCTATGGTCCTTCTTCTCCAGGAGTTCATGATCAGCTTGGGTGGTACAAGAGTCAGGTTAGCTCCCCTAAATATTCATTGTGATCTTTTACCCACTAGGGCAAAATCAAGTGGAATTAATTTGGTGAAGAGTCTCAGTAGGGGATATTGATATGTCTTTTGTAAAAGAATGAATGAATGAAGCATACTTGTTTCAGAGACAGTAGGCGAGAAGAGATAAAGGAATGAGTTTAGCTGACACCAGACAGAATTATAAATGACTGCTTTTTAGGGCAGGGATGCCTGTCTAAACTCCAAAGGTTTCATATTTTATTTTTATTGATCTCTTATTAAAGTTGCTTTTATTTTAATGAAGAGTGTTCACATTTGCAGAGCCCCAAATTTTCTTTGCTTATTTTTTTTCTGTTATTTGCTTTAAAATCAAATGCAATGACTTAGTACCATTTTCTGAAATTGTTTAGATTCAGTTATGTAATGCTAATGAATGTCATTTTTTAACAGAGGGTAGTGGAAGTGTGAGAGGAGGAGGTGGGGGCAATGCCAGAGAATACAAAATTAAGAAGGTAAAGAAGAAAGGAAGAAAAGATGATGATAGTGATGATGAGTCTCAGTCATCTCACACCGGTATGTACCTTGATCTTACTTTTTCTTTCTGTGTATGATTTTTTTTAACATTTTCTTATTATTATTATAATTTTATGATATAGTTCCATAGGCTCCTGGTATTTCCCTTATCCCAGCTCCAACCCCCCACCTAGTTCCTCTATATCATTGCTAAAGTATAGTTCTTCATACACAATCATATGTCCATCATTGGGGGCATGGACAATGGCAGAGAGTCCAGCATCCTGTTGTCAAGATACAGTAAACAGTTTCATTATAAGTCCATCTGTGTCTGTAAGTAGACAATACTACATTGTATCCTCACATCTGGATATGTTAGTCTCCATTCCACAACTACTGTACATCCCCTCACATGAAAAGTCATAATACAAAATCAATAATAGAAAGAAAAATAGAAATTTACAATGTCATTAAGTTGAATAACATGTATGACAGTCTCCATTACGCAGCTAGTATACATCCCCTTAAATGTAAACCAACAAAACAAAATCAACATCAGGAAGAAAAAAGACATTAACAACACGTTAAGGTTAAATAACATGCTTCTAAATGACTAATGTGTAGCTGAAGAAATGAAAATCAAGAGCCTTCTTGCAGAAAATGATGCTACTGTATGATCTATGAGTCACTGAAGAATTTAATCAGAAGAAAGTGTTTTGAAGAAGTGAAACTAACGAAAACATCAAAACCCATGAGAGATAGTTTTGGCTGATTTTTTGTTGGTGAAATGTGTCTCTTCTAGACAACAAATAGACGAGTTTTGATTTTTAATCCAGTCTACTAGTCTATGACTTTTGATTGAGCTTAAGTCATTTACATTCAGAGTTAATATGTATGCGTGATACTTTGGTCCTTTCGTTTTAGGAATGGGTTCTTCATTGGTTTAGTCTTCTGTTGTCATTTTACTGGGATGTTCTTCCTGTTTGCCTTTGGTTTTGTTTGATGCTATTCTTTTTCTCTGTCAAGAGAACATCTTGAAGTATCATTTGTAGGGCAAGTTTGGAAAAGGCATATTCTTTTAACTTTTCTTTACTATGGAAGAATTATATTTCATCTTCAAAGACAAAAGAAAGCTTTGCTGGATGTGTTATCCTAGGCCAACAATTTTTTTCCTTTTGAATCTGGAATCTGTCACTCCATTCTGTTCTTGCCTCTAGAGTTTCCTGTGAGAGATCTCCTGTGAGTTTAATTAGCATTCCTTTATATGTCAATTGATATTTTTCATGTGCACATTTCAGGATATTTTCCTTATGTTCGATTGAGGAGAGCTTCATGATCATGTGTCATGGTGAAGATCACTTTTTTTTTATGACCTGGGAATAGTTTATTTCATGTTCAAATTCCAAGAGAGCTGCTCTTTGGACAATTGATTTCAACTCTACAAAACAGGATGAAAAGTATAGACTGACTGGATTTGTTTCTTTTTTATTTATTTATTCTGGGTTTTTTTTTTTAATGTTTTTTATGTTCCCCCTTCCGCTTTGGGAGTTCTGTATGCCTCCTGGATCTTGTTTCCCAATTCTTTCTCTAAATTAGGGAAATTTTCCTTTATTATTTCATTAAATATATTTGTAAAATCAGTTTCTCTTTCTGCACCTTCTGGGACTCCCATAACTCTTTTATTTGGCCTCTTAATAGTGTCTTTCAATCCTTGAATACTTTTTTTGGCCTGATCCAGCTCTGTTTCCAGCTTTTTGTTTGCTTCCCACTGGTGACAGGAAATATCTTCCAATGCTGAGATTGCTTGCTCTTCTTGTTTCATTCTATTTTGGAGACTCTCCACTGTACTTTTAATTTGCTCTACTGTGTTCTTAATTTCTGATATATCAGCCTTGATTTGCTTTATTGCTGCTGTTGCTTGTGTAAAATATTCCTTAAATTCTTTGAACTCTTGCATGTGCTTCTCATTGTTGATCAGAAGCTTTAAAATGAGTTTTCTGAATTCTGTGTCCCCCATTTCCTCAATGTCTTCCTCAGTTAACTCTGAGGTTGGCATAGGGTTTTGCTCTTTTGCAGGGGAGTTTTCGATAATATTCATTATGCCTTTGTCTCTTTTTTTGCTCTTGGTCATTATACTTCTGGTTAGCAGATTCTTCTCCTTGGGGCAGGTTTCTAAGCTCTGTCACCCACAGGTCTACAGTTTGATTTTACTTATTGCAGTTGGTACACAACTCTTTGTTTGCAGCCAATTGTGCCACTCCCTCCAGCGAGTTCCAGGTCTGGGTTCTTATGTCAGATTTCCACAAAGAACTCCATAGCCCCAACTCCTGGCTCACCAATCTCCACCTCCTGTGATACCATGCTGAGGCTGCACCATTGTCTCTGCAACCTTTCTCCCACTTCTGGTTGGAGCAGGTCCCAGGATTAGAGAGACACCAGGTGTCCTATATAGCTAGGTTGTTGGTGGCACTGATCTTGCCAGAACCTGTTGGACGTTAGGTCTGGGTGCCACATGGACCTATTTTGACCCGTACAATGCCACAGTAGGTATTATTTTCCTGCTGGACCAGTGCAGTCCACAGAACTCAGTGAGTTCTCACAAGCTCAGCACATGTGCAGTTCACTGTTGTCCCCTGTACTCCTAAAGCTTTTGCTACAGTGTACAAAATGGTGCCTGACGTTCCACTACTAGAGTTCTTGATCTGCTGGCCGTCAGGTCTGAGGGCTACCCAGACCTGTCTTGGGTGGAACCTGTAGAATGCCATGTTGATGTAGTTCACTGAGTCACAAATGAGTTCACTCCCAGCTCAGCGTGTGCTCAGTCCTTTCTCTTTTCCTCCTTACGCAAAATGGCTCCCGATTCAGCTCAAGAGGGCTGACTGGGCTGTGAAATCCACCCTGTTCTTGCATCACCTGTCTGGGATCTGCTGCTCTCTCTCTGCTCCTGGTCAAATCAAACGGACCAGCAGGACAGACAGTTCTTTGTCTGGGTTCACCTCCCAAGCTCCCAGTGAAAGTTCCTTCCCACCTGGTTGCTGGTGGAGTTCTGGCTGCTGGTGGAGTTCAGATTGCTGTTAGCTGAATGCTGCTGGAGTATCAGTCACTGCAACACCACACCATTGTTTTTGCTGCTTTCCTGTGTCTGTCAGTCTCCAGGTACCCCTCTGCTGTTGTTCTGTCCTCTCCTATTTCCTGGAATGTGTCCTCTCTGCTTCATCCTGATTAAATGTTTTTCTGTCCGTTTTAACGTGTCCTTACCCTGTTCTGCCATCTTGATTTTCCCTTTCTGTGTATGATTTTGTTCAGCATATTTTTAAGGTGCATATGTATATATAATTAGCTTTATTAGTATATCTTTATACTTACACAGGATGATTTTGTTTTACATGATTTCACTGGGTACAAATTTCAGTTACCATTGTATAAGTGACTTCAGTCCACAAAAACAGTTCAAATTTCAGTTACCAAGTTGCCCTGATATTTTACTTGTTAATAATTGTGTGAAATTCAAACTTCACTGCTAGTGCCTCAATTCATAAATCAGTACATACTCATAATTAGTTGTATATCATGAAACTATGACAGTCCTGTTGCCTATTTTATGTTTTGAATTGTATAGCTTATCATTGGCTGATAGTTACACATTTATGCATTATGCACAGGTAGAGTATGTGGTTGTGATGCTTTTTTGTCTCCCAGTGACTAACCAACATACCACTTTATGAAAATGGATCATCAGAACAGGGAATTGGCAGACAAAGAGACACAACAAAGAAATTAAAAGCAGTAATACTGGAAACAAGATTGTAATCATTCACAAGTAATCTTACGGGGAAAATGTTACCTCTGAGAATGTTGATGCTGTCAGTGTTCAAGATATAGCAGTTGGGGTCAGCTTTATGGCATAACTGATTCAGTCACCACCCGCAAGACTGGCATCCAATATGGGCACAAGTTTCAGTCCTGGCTGCTGCACTTCTAATTCAGCTCCCAGGTACTCTGCCTAGGAAAAGGAAATGAAGATGATGAAGTCCTTGCACACCTGCACACATGTAAGAGACCAGATGAAGCTCCTGCTCCTGGCAGGTTGATCCAGCCCTACCTTTTACAGCCATTTGGAGAATGCACTACCAGATAGAAGATCTCTGTTTCTCTCTGTAGCCCCCTTCCTTTCTCTCTTAACACTGCTTTTCAAATCATTAAAATCTTTAAAAAAAAAAAAAAAGAAGAAACTGGGTATAGAATGAAATAAAGTTAGTAAATGTATGCTTAATGATATCTGTGAGGTAACTGGCTGTGATCAGAAAGAAGTAAGTAGAAAGCTTCACATTAAAGGAATTCTTAAAGATACAAAAGGCATTAAATGGGAAAAGGTAATATGTAAGGTGCATGCTTACTTACTATAGTAATACCTAACTGATTGGTTACTTCTATCTCTGAGGGAGAATTAATTGTATTCATCCTTATTTCCTGCACTGTGTTTGACCAAGTCAAGTATGCACAAGACATCTGAGTTTGTTCTTCTGAGTAAAATTAATGTATTTTCATTTTCTGTTTAAAAAGTTAACAGTAAAACCATAATGCTCACCATAATGCTCCCCATTAAATACTTAAAAACAAATTTCAGATGATGATAATAGAAGATTTTTTTTTCTTCTTTCACAGATTTCATGACATATGGACCATAGTTAGGAGGTACACATATCAGTGGTGTGGCTGCAGCTATTAATGTGTTCTTATTTGTAACAGCACAGTCACTTAAGATCTGATTTTAATTAGAGAAGTAGAAATTGTTGCTATTCTTAGTATGTATAAAACTTAATTATGTGAAAGTGTGTCTAGATAGGCTATCAGCTATACCCATATTTTCAATAGCATTAAGACTATTCAGTGTGGGTTTTCAATTTACACTGATAAATGTATTATCCTTTTCCCTAGATAAAGAGGGATGGAGGTGAAGAAGCATTTAAAAAATATTTCTCTGATATTTGTAGCTTTGTTAATTGAGGCATGTGTTCATTTTTCTGTATAGATAGAGAAGTGTTACACGAGTTGTAAAATTATTCCACCTGAAAAAAATTGTAATTTCAATGTGTTTGGAAAATGATTGTGTTACAGTATCTGAAGACCTAACTATGTCTTGGGTAAAATATTATCAGTTCAGTATGACAGATTACTGTGTAAAACACAATACACTGTAAAATCCATACAGGAATCCGACAGGAAATTACAAGAGTAGTTAGAATATCAGGAATGGATAGATCTCAGAAAAGAAGGATACTGTTTGTCTACTCAGAAGCAGTGATCTCAGCTCTTTAAATCTTCATATTAAAAATTGATTTTTGAGCCATTTTACTTTTATTCCTTTTTTTCCAATTATTTTTTATTGAAAAGTCAGATTTACAAATAGAAAGGCCTCCCATCCATCGTTTCACCTCCCAAATGGCTGTACCAACCTAAGCTGAGCCGATCTGAAGCCAGGAGCTTTTTCTGGGTCTCCCACATGGGTGCAGGGTTCTAAGGCTATGAGCAATCATCTATGGCTTTCCTAAGCCATAAGTAGGTAGCTGGATGGAAAGTGGAACAGTCAGGATACTAGCCAGCACCCATGTGGGATCCTGGGTGTGCAAGGCAAGAATTTAGCCACTGAGCCAACGCTGTGATGCAGAGCCCTATTTTATTTTTAATTCTAAGGTTTCTCCTGTAAAAGCAGTAAGTTAATTAGCTGGAAATACTCACCTTTAAACTGCAATTTCTGGGCCCGGCGGCATGGCCTAGCAGCTGAAGTCCTCGCCTTGAATGCTCTGGGATCACATATGGGCGCCAGTTCTAATCCCCGGCTGCTACACTTCCATGCAGCTCCCTGCCTGTGGCCTGAGAAAGAGTCAAGGATGGCCCAATGCCTTGGGATCCTATACCCATGTGGGAGACCTGGAAGGAAGTTCCTGGATCCTGGCTCCAGACCAGCACTGCACCAGCTGTTGCACTCATTTGGGGAATAAATCATTGGACGAAAGATCTTCCTCTGTCTCTTTTCTCTGTATATCTGACTTTGTAATGAAAATAAAATAAATCTTAAAAAAAAAGAACCTTTGCAATTTCTAATGGAAATATTGTTAGTTTTTCTTATACACAACCAAGTAACTTGATAGAGGTTATGTTTTTACAACATATAGTCCAATAGCACTAGTTGGATACAAATTTTCCTGTGTGTGTATTTGTTTTTCTGACAACAAAAATAAGTTATAAACGTAGGGTATGATTAATTGGATTGTTTCTGTTTTGTTCTTAGCTCAATTTCTTTCCAAAAAGTCAAAATTTAGCCTACCAATTCTACTGGGATTGTAGTTAACATAATTTTTTATGAGTAAAATTCTACCACTGTCCATTTTTCAGTGGAGAGAAAGAACCTTTTCATAAAATATTTTTTTCTGTGTATTTGCATCATCTAAATTAGATGAGGGAGAAAATTTTTATTATCTTTTGATGAAATTGTTAGGAGAAGGTCATTTTAAGATGAAGTTGGAAAATTATATAAATTACATTACATATACTATATAGTTTTCTAAAGCAGTATTTTCATTAGGTATTATTTGTTAACATGGATGTTTTTATTGACATTAAATTAATATCTTTTAATGATGATTAATATGTTAATAAAAATTATTTTTATTACATATTTGTTTTCTCTCTCTCTCTTTTTGTCTCTATTATAGGAAAGAAAAAGCCAGAGATGACTTTTATGTTCCAGGATGAAATTGAAGACATTTTAAGAAAACATGTACAAGATGCTCCTGAGGAATTTATTTCTGAACTTGCAGAACACTTGATAAGGCAAGTATAAATTGCATTTTTCTATTTTATGATAGATACTCTGTGGGTTATTAAAATTCTCCCGGAGAACAACAAAAACATATTTTAGGCGTTTCCTTTTCCAAGGTTAGAATTTAATCTAGCTGCCAAATTGTAGATATTACTTGACTGTAGCAGTTCAACAGATATGTGTTAGATGCTTTGGGCAAAGCAATATAGGAAAATAAAGGACAAAAACCCTTAAAAATGTCCTTGTTCACTGATTTAACCTTAAGTCTTAGTTGGAAAGAAAATACCAGCACTAGTCACTGGTTTCCATAGCATGAGAAATTGTATACAAAAGAAAAAAAAAAATTTGTTCTTTTTAATTAATAAAATATTTGCTGTTAGGGTGAAAAGTAATAGAGCATCCTCAAGAAATATTAACTTTAGATAAGTTACCTTATGAATGAATCAGATTGAATTTATTTTTATACAAAAGGAGAGGAAATTGTGTTTAACTTGACCATTACTAAACTTACTTGGTCATCCCTCAAATTAATCAGAGTATATAAGTTTACATAAATATAATCCAGCATCCAAGTACATCCTACTTTGAATTTAGAAACACATAAGAAGATATTTATAGTTATACTCCAAATAACTTTAAAAATTTGTTTTGAACTGTGAAGTCTATATTGTTAATTTTTTTTAAGATTTATGTATTTTTACTGGAAAGGCAGATATACAGAGAGAAAGAGAGACAAACAGGAAGATCTTCCATCTGATGGTTCACTCCCCAAGCAGCTGCAGTGCCTGAAGATGAACCTTTTTGGAGCCAGCAGCCTCTTCTGGGTCTCCCACATGGATGCAGAGTCTCAAGGCTTTGGGCTGTCCTTGACTGCTTTTCCAGGCCACAAACAGGGAGCTGGATGGGAGGCAGGGATGCTGGAATTAGAACCTTTGCCCATACAGGTTCCCAGTATCTTCAAAGCATGAACTTTGGCCACTAGGTCACTGTGCTGGGCCCAGTTAATGTTTTTATTGTCTTCCATGCAGTAACATTGAGTACGCAGAGATAAGAAAATAATGCATTTCATTCCTAGGGTTGTGAAACATTCTGGGTGAAATGTCAATCTAAATTTATCTAAATTTATTTTATTGTATCAAATCTTTCAAGGTTTGATTGAAGCAAAATTTATTGTCTGCACAAATCCAGTACATTTTAATAGACTTAAATATACTTCTCTTTTGCACAGGCCTCTTAATAAAACTTATCTCGAGGTAGTACGTTCAGTATTTATGTCTTCAACTTCTGCATCTGGAACTGGCAGAAAACGCACCATCAAGGATTTGCAAGAAGAAGTTTCAAACTTGTATAATAATATTAGATTGTTTGAAAAAGGGATGAAATTTTTTGCAGGTAAATTTAATACTGATTTTTTTTTCATTGATTCTCATGTTTTTGGGGGAGGAGTTAGTTTTAATTCAGTTCCTTTTTTTCCAGATGACACTCAGGCTTCCCTTACCAAGCACTTGCTGAAGACCGTGTGTACAGACATCACTAACCTCATTTTCAACTTCCTAGCTTCAGATTTGATGATGGCGGTAGATGATCCTTCAACCATTACAAGTGAAGTATGTTAGTGATTTGTTTACCACTCTTAACGTATTTTGCTTTAAGTGTAAGCACATTTTCTCTCACTTGAAATTACACAGTAAAAAGTTTTTAGAAAAAATCTATAAGCAGTCTTAATTTTCATATAATATATACACACTTGCTGACAGGATTGGTTATATAACCAATCTATTAAAAGTAGCAGTGCTTAAATACTTTGAAATCAACAGGATTTCCTTTCCAAATTCATATTATATAGCTTCTTTTTTGCTGTTCCAAATCCTTAACAGCATTCTCACTAGTTTCAACAACTTTGTAGTCATTTTCATTTGATAACATCATCTCATTTCATTAGTTAGATAATTGCAGAATATTTTTCAAAGTTCTCAACACAGGCTAAAGTTGAAAGCTCATCTTTTCCTTTCTTCGAATGGCAGGTAGAGCTTTGGTTCTCAGTTGCTAAGTGGAAGAAGGTTGCTATCTGTCACTAAGATGAAAATGACCTCTGCTCTTCTCCCTTAACTTTCTTGATCTACTCAAGATTGACATTTAGCAAAGCTAAGTTCTTGAAAATGATTTCATATGCCTATCACTGCCTTTGATGTCGGTCAAACAGTCCTCTTTACACCACTTAGCCTAACGTCCAGCCACAGGACATGATCAGTTTTCCGTCTTACAGGCATCCTTGTTCTTTATGACAGAGTACCTTCTCAGCTGACACTGGGAAGGGATGAGTATTCTCTTTCCACCCCCATGCACAAGAGATAACTCTTTTTCCAAATACTGTAATTCCCACTGTCTCTCCAGTGTTCCTCTTACATGGATGATGAGGAAGCTCACGAATAATGAAATTAAAGTTTATTTTGGTGGGAAAAATTCTGAAATCCAAGCATAGTTTTTTCATAATGCACATTTTCTGTGAAGTTTTTTGAAGCATCTTCTTGTTGCTAGTGCAGATTTGAGGACTAGAACTGTCTCTAATGAGCTGACTATTGGCTAGCTCTCTGATTCTAGAGAGTGTGTGTGTGTGTATGGTTTTTTGTTGTGTTTTGGTTTGGTTTTTTGTTTTCATTTCTAGCTAGATCTAAAATTCAAGAGCAATATAAAATTGATTCACAGTTATGTTTCAGCAATATATATGCTTTCATTTTTTTTTTTTGCTTGATCATATAACCACTATGTGTCAGAAGCATAATGCCCAAAAAAAGCATAAACAATTTTGTTCCTTACAGGTAAGAAAAAAGATTTTAAGCAAGTTGTCAGAAGAAACCAAAGTAACTCTCACAAAACTCCATAATTCTCTGAATGAAAAGGTAAATAACATTTGATTTTAGTTAGTTTTCCCGGTTGGAGGTTTGTATTATAAAAATCTTTAAATAGGTTTTTACCAGAATAATTGTGAACTCAATCTAAAATAAGTATATTGCACTCATGTACCTCTTTAGCAAATAGAGTGAAAGAATAATACTGGGGCATTTTTCCGTTAAACTCTAAATCCCAATTTTTCTTATTGCTATGAACTTTTGAAAGAATTGTATGTGAAGATATTGCGCACACACACGTATTTATGCTGTATTTCTTTAGGCTCCTGTTATAAGTTAAATTATGGTTTAAAATATATTTTCAGAGCATAGAAGACTTTCTTTCTTGTCTGGATTCAGCAACAGAAACATGTGATATTATGCTAAAGAAAGGAGACAAGAAAAGAGAAAGGTAAAATTGAGTTGTATACATTATTAACGTTCTTAAGTGTGAGACCTTTAATATCTGAAATTTGAATATTACTGAATTGTTCATAGAGCCCTATCAATATGCCTGATAGATGTTCAAATATGTTCAAAGTCTTAAAATTAGTATTCCTTTCTAACATTTCAGATAAGGAGTAGAGCTCCTTATTTCGTAGTCCATTAAGCTTAGAATTTTTTGTCAGCTTAGAGATTTTCTGTGCAAGAAACATTTCTGTATCAGTGTAGTTCTGTTTCATGTCCAGACACTCAAAAGCTTACAGTTGAATATCTCTGACCTATATCTTGTTCTGTAGTCAGCCTGACCATGCCACTTAAGGTTGTGTCTGTCCATATTATCCCCATATATGGAAAGTACTTTAAAATGCTCATAAAATTAGCTAGACAAGTTATGAACTGAATAGAGAAGAAAATTAATATCAGTGAGAATTTGGTAAGTGATAATACATTTATGTGATTTTATATTTGTTTAGACAGATAATGTTCCAGCATCGACAAGCACTGGCTGAACAGCTGAAAGTCACAGAAGACCCTGCTCTCATTCTGCACCTCACGTCAGTCTTACTGTTTCAGTTCTCAACCCACAGCATGCTCCATGCACCGGGAAGATGTGTCCCACAGATCATTGCTTTTCTTAATAATAAAATTCCAGAGGTATTACCTATTTAATGTATTTTAAACTTCAATATATTTTCAACTTCAATTTCTTAGATTCTGAATATTTTCAGGGGATAGAATGTGAACAGTGAATTAGGAGACTGATTTTTAAAAATACAGCTGGCTCAAAATTCAGGATTTATAAGATCCATGGTAAAGAATGCTCCGAATTTATAAATTAAGCTTTTAGACAAGGTAATTTGCTTCAGGTCCAGTTCAAAAATCTTATCCTACACAAATTCCTCTGAAAATCTTTTAGCTAAAAATAGTTTGACTTTGAACTACTGTATCATTTTGACCATATCTTTGTGTTAAGTCAACTGAAAGTGATCTGCATTCATGTTTTATTTCCGCTAAATTGTATACTCCTTAGATTAAGGACTTTGCTATATTTGCTTTTATGTTTTCATGTCCAATATTTTATAAAGATATGTTTTAGTCATACATATCCTGCTGTACCTGTTCCACTGAAAATTAAATTGTATTTGCTAACTTCTCCTCATCTTTCTGTTTTTTCAGGATCAATATACTCTTTTGGTACAATATCAAGGTTTGGTTGTAAAGCAGTTGGTTAGTCAGAATAAGAAGACTGGACAGGGAGATGATTCTTTGAATGAGGAATTGGACAAAGAACAGCAAGATATCATCAATACTACTCGTAAAGAACTTCAGGAACTTTCTTCATCCATTAAAGACCTGATCCTGAAATCCAGGAAGTCATCTGTGACAGAGGAGTAATTAGCTTAATTTATTTTTGTTAAATAGTAAATATTTCTCCCCAAAATTAAAAGTGAGTGGTCACAAAAAAAAAAAATAGTCACTTCATAACTCCCCATTCCCATGTAACAATCCCACCCCAGTTACAATACAGTTAAAACAACAAAGTTACACTAAATGGAAATTTTCTACAGATTTTAAATTTTATAAAATGGGATCTCTGAAAAGCTTTTCTTTTACAATATCTTCTCATGATTTTTATGTGAAACAAGTTATTTTCATGTATAATAACGTAGAGATATTTCACATAATCCTAAAAATTATACATTTTAGATTTTTTTTTCCAAATGGTAAGTGAAATGTAAATTTTTTGGTATTATCCATGTCCAGGAAAGGACTCATTTGTTTGCACTAGATTCAAATGATATTGCTGTATTTATATACATTCAAGCAGAAGCTTACAATGTGGTCATGATTATTTTTAAAAGTATACATTGGGTATCTAAAAAAATGTATCGTGGTTTTTCTTAATGAAGAAAGATTCAAAATTAATACAAAAATTTACATTGCATAAATATGCTTATATATATTTATATATATTACTAAGCCTTTGCTCTGATTTCTGGCAGGGAGAGGGCCCCCTATATCCTCTACTGGAGTGAACTGTCATGAGTTTGGGACATAACATATGCTTTATAGGGCAGAAGAACATGAGAATGGCATTGTTATGCTTTGCTACATACAAGTTGCTACTAAAAATGAGAAAAAGCATGAGATTTACAAGTAGTTGTATGTCCCATTTAATAATAGAATAAGTGAAATTTAAATACTGAATTTTTCTTTTGTCCAGTATACATTGTTGGATTTCATTTTTCATTTTCCTAGCAGTCCTTGTACCTACTATTTCATAAATACCTGTATGATACTTAGGCTGTTTTTTTCTGGTGATAAGAAAATCTGTAAGCATATTCAGGTCACTGAAACTGTTTCTTCCAAAAATAGAAACTCTTATTTAAAATAAAAGTTATTGCTTTCTGAAGCTTATTAGTTAAAAGATAGAATAGCTCCTTGGAATAATCATTTTAACCAGATGAATTTAAATAATTTATTATATTTTGAATATAATAATAAATGCCAAATACCAAGGAAAATATTATTTCATGTAATTCCTTAATTTGCATTTTTATTTTAAAATTTTTGAATACAAAGATCAGTCCACCCTGCATGATTGTAGACAAACACTAGTGTTGAGTGACCGTGACTAAGACTAAGCACTATCAGTAAAACTGATAAGAATTTAAGATTTAATTAAAACAGTTTTCCATGAGTATTTTCTACTACATTTTCATATGGGCAAAGAAAGAACAATGACAAGGACCTTCATAACCACAAACTCCAATTTAGATCGATTGGCATTTAGCTTCAAAAAAACTGAACACTCAGCCTATTTTTTAGTTTACTCTTTGCTTAAAAATGTTATTTATTTGTATTTTAGCAAATACCAAAGTAATTCATGTTTTGTCAGGCTAGGTCACAAAAAATAAATGAAAGAGATGATGAAATAAATGAAAAGAAAGTTGTTCTGTGTTACTTTTTATGCATTCTGTTTTTCCTGTTTGTTGCAGTAATCCCTATTTTTCCATAGTAAAAATTTTTATTGTTTTTGTAAATAAAAATATATGCCTGATTTTATATGTGGAAATCTGATTTCATAATTGAAAATTATAGTGTGCTCATTTTGATATTTATGGGCATGGTTAAAAATAAAATTGGTTATTCTGTTTAATTTTATGGTATTGAAGTTTCCATTATTTTAATTAGTACTAGAATTAATTGACACGTTATGTATTTATATTTTGAATTCTCATTCAGAATACCATTAAAGAGTTACTTTCCTTTTCTTATATAATAATTCCTTCATCTTTATGTTTCTTTCATTACTTGAAAATTTCCATTTATTGACCATTCAGTCTTACTACATTACTTTCCCAAACAGCTGATGCCGGTAAATGGATAGCTATGTTTTCAAATCTCGTTCCTGCTATTCTGGTTATAGTAAATATGTTTGAAAACATATTTAGATATTTACTCTGATGTGTTCCATCTCTAGACCCATGTTTTTGTTTTGAGATTTATGAAAGGTGGTTAAAGAGAGAGAGATCAATATTCCATCAACTGGTTCCGACTCCCTTCCCCCATATTCCCATAGTCCGTATTTGGGCCAGGCCAAAATCAGGAGCCAGCAGCCAGTTTTCCTCAGTCAGATCTTCCCCATTGCTGACATCTTCCACTGTTTTCTCAAGCACATCAGTGTGAAGCTGGGTCAAAAACAGAGAAACTGGAACTTGAACTGGTGCTCTGATGGGGGATCCCAGTGTTGCAGACATCAGCTTAATACATTATTTCACAAAGCCAGCCCTCTGTGCATTTGAAAAATCAGAGATCTCCCATTTATGGCCACTAAAAAGATCCATTGGGGATCCAGGGCATTGGCTCAACTGGCTAATCCTCCACCCTCAAGTGCAGCATCCCATTTGTGCACTGGTTTATGTCGCACCTATTCTATTTGCCATCCAGGTCCCTGCTTATGGCCTGGAAAGCAGTAGAGAATGGCCCAATGCCTTGAGAAACTGCACCACCGTGGGAGACCAAAAAGCAGCTCCTGTCAGCTTCCCAGCTTTGGATCAGCTCAGTTCTGTCCATTGCAGCCATTTGGGGAGTGAACCAGCCGGTGAAAGACCTTCCTCTCTGTCTGTCCTCTGTAGATCTGCCTTTCCAATAAAAATCTTGAAAAATGCAACAAGGAAATAATATATTGCCAAAATCATAATGTACCTTAATGCTAAGTAAGACTAAATACAGCAGTTACTTAACCTAAGTACATAGTTTTCAGACACTTTTTAGAAAATATGCTTTAGACCACAAAATGTTGAGGGTGATTAGATCAAGGCACAACTCGTTTGAAATGCAGCACAGATGTATATTAAAAAGAAGCAGTTTGGTGTCTGGCATTGTGATATAGAGTGTAAAGCCACCATCTGCAACACTAGCATTGCATAAGGCATCAGTTCATGTCCCAGATACTCCCCTTCTCATCCAGCTTCCTACTAATGGCCTGTGGAAAACTATAGAAGATGGCCCAAGTGTTTGGGTTGCTGTCACCCACATAAGGTTTTCCTAGTTCCTGATTTGATTGTTTCCCTGGGGATTGAACCAGTGAATGAAAGATCTCTCTCTGTCTTCCTCAATCTGTAACTGACTTTCAAATTTAAAAACCTTACCAAAAAAAAAAAAAAACCAAAAAACGGAGGCATTAATTCATTGCTTCTTCAGAAATGCTATACCCAAAACAATGAGATCATTTTAATGTCAACTGAATGAAGCTGAATGACAAAGAGATTTGCTTCTTTTGAAGATCATAAATCCTGTCCCCCCCATCACACAAGAGAAATGAAATAAAACACATGTTTAAAACTCTGGGAGGTATATGTTCCACACAAATCTTGGAGCAATATTTGTTTTGCTGGTCATTTTTCTGTTGTGGCAAAAAAATACCATTTTGGTCATTTTTATATGTAGAATCTTAATGTAAACCACATGCATGTTGGCATTGCTCTAGAATTTTTGCATCTTTCAAAGCTGAAATCCCATAATATGCACTTCACAATTCTTTTTCCCTCTTCCCTGCTTCTGATAACCATCATTTTACTTTGTTATTGAGAATTTACAAATATTTATATGTAATGATAATTATAAATGTCCAAGTTATTTTCCTGTAAGTGAAATAAAACTAATATACTTTTTTGTGACATGTGTAAAAAAAGGGTTCACTCATGTAGTAGCATGAAAAAGAATTCCTACTAAATATTCCATATGTACATATTCCACATTTCATCCATTCATCTCTCAGTGACCATTAAGGTTGTTTCTACCTCTTAGCTATTGTTTCATTGAACATGGGTGTACCAATATCTCAGTTTTTTTTGGATATATACTCAGAAATGGGATTGATGCACATGGGTTCTGATTTCTCTTGTCAATGGAAGCAAAATAGTTGGAACTGGAGAATAAGCAGGTTAAGTAAGGTGGCTGAACTCAGGAGATATGCACTTCATGTTCTCCCACCTGTATGAAGCTAAAAACCACTCAATCTAAATACAGAGTGATAATTATACAGGCTGGTGGGGAAGTGAGCTTAAAAAGTTTGAATAATGTGTACCAAATCAGATCCAAGCAATAAGATCTTACTGATGCACAGCATAATGGGACTACTACCATTCACAGTAGCTTTTCATATTTAATGAGCAAGTAAAATAATGTTTAAAGACTCCAAACAAAAAATGTCACATAACAGGAAATGTTGGTTCCTTTGAACAGTACACATTGAATACATGTATTAAAATATTAAACTTAGCCCATAAGTACATATAATTTTTAATTTTTTTAAAAAGAATATACTTCCTAGTTTCAAAACATCTTACTCAACAGTAACTGAAATAATGTGATACTGACATACAGACAGACATATAGATCAATGGAACAGAATAAAGAGCCCAGAAATAAACTCTTTATTATATATGGCCAAATGATCTTTTTCAAAGGTATCAATATTACACAGTGAGAAAAGGATAGCAAAATGATGATAGCAAAAATAGTATATGTTTCCAGTATTGTACTACTTATTTTTGTCACACTTGCCCTTAATCTGTGTATTGAGTGAATAATAGTAAGACAACCTGAATATTTGTTTCAAGGAACAGCAAGGGCAATCATAACCATGGTGTAATGGAATATAAGAAGACTTATGAATTTGAATATTTGATACAACAATTACTGTCTCTTTAATGAATGTTAAATACTAGGAATAGTCATAAATATCTGTATTTTTTAAAGATTTGTTTTCATTGGAGAGTCAGATTTACAGGAGAGACGGAGAACTCCTGTCTCCTGTCTCTGGCAGAGAACTCTGTTGCACTCCTCCAATGGCCACAATGGCCAGAGCTGAGCTGATCCAAAGCCAGGAGCTAACGCTTCTTCTCCCACGTGGATATGGGTTCCCAAGGCTTTGGGCAATACTCTGCTACTTTCCCCAGGCCATGAGCAGGGAACTGGATGGGAACTGGAGCACCCAGTATACAAACCAGGATTCTTACGGGATCCCATTGCATTTGAAGGAGCATTAGCCAGTTGAGCCATTGCACCAGGCTTGTAAATTTTTAAAGTATGTTACTTTCAAACAGATGACAAGAATCAGTAACTATAGTGTTTTGTGTAGGAGAAAGCAGAGATTGCAATGGAAGTAGAAATGAAGTTCATACTGTCACACATATATATAGAGGGTAGGCATGGCCCCTGAGCTATCTCCTGCAAGAGGAAATAGATAGTTAGCATGGTAGAAAATGAAGGGGAAATGGAACATTTCTAGGCCCTTCTTTGAATAGGAGGTTCAAAAGTATTTAATACGAATTAACATGAGATGATGAAATGTTTGGGGAGCCCTCAAGTAAGAGAAATAGGAAAAGTTATCTGGGTAAGTATAATGTAAGATGAAGTAGAAAGACTGGGGTAATCATGAAATAAGCTGAAGAATTTAATCATTATCCTGTGGATATATAGGGAGCCCTAAAACATTTCCAGGATGAAAAAATATTTCCATTCTGTGAGACAGTTTGGTAATCATCAGACTCTTTACAAAATACATTTTATTTATCAAACGTCTTCTTTTTCTAAGAAATAGCATGTGCCCTATGAGGCAGTCATTCAAGCAGAACAAGTTGAGCTACAACTTGGGGTGCTGGTATCCAATGTCATAATGCCTAGGTTGGAGTTCTACCTCCACTTCTAAAGCCGCTTAGTGCTAATATACCCAAAATGCAGCAAATGATGGTCTGGGTATTTGGTTTCAAACCTCTTATGTGAAAGACCCAGGTGGAGTTCCTGGCTCTTAGCCTGCTGCAAGTGTTTGAACAAGTGGAGGGAAGATCTTTGTTTCCCTTTCTTTGTCTCTGTGCCTTTCAAATAAATGTTTTAAAGTATACAAAACTTGTTTTAAAATGTATGTAATATTTTTCAAATAGTCTACCAGGACACATACAAGTCTTTACATAGGCAATCTTGACTGGAATATTTTTATTCAAATGGTAACGCAACAATAGCAACAAAAATCATTATCTGACTAGTAGAGCTAAAATAATCTACAAGATTGTTTTTCTTGATATTCAACATAAAATAGTGAAAGAACTGTACAAAATAATTTCCTACTGAATCTGTCTTTATCCATCTAAAACACATTCTTCAATTCTACTACAGTTTCTCTCATTTCCTCTTATGTACACAGGATATAGACCAAGATCTCCAGGGATATCTGAAACCACAACTAGTACTAAATCCAGCATGCATCATGCTTTTTCCAATATCTGCAGAAATATAAAGTCTTTTTCATCATAACTAATCACTTAGCATGCACTGTAGATCTAACTTTTGCAATTTGAGATGCAACAGAAAATTAGCCATTTCCTTTTCCATAACTTAATGGACAGAGGATGTATTCTCACCTTAACTCTTAGCAACTTAGGCATATGATGTCTTTTCTTTATTGAGACTTTTTCACTTAAAGGAAGCAATTTAAGACTTCTCTGTGACATCCTTGGAGTTGCCAGCATCACTAGATGCACATTTTGTGGCCTTTTCTATGTAACAAGGAATACTAAATACAAGCACTGCCATAGACAAGTGATCCAACAATGGAGAAGGTTACTAAGTGACTGATGGACTGGCAGATATGCA